ACATCCATCTAATGTAACTCTAAATCGTAATGTGCTAGTAACACCATTATGATTCTAGAAGAATTCTTGCATGAGATTGGAGAGAAAACTCTCATCGTAATCTATTTATTCTGTTTGCGTAAAGCCTTTTGCTACAAGTCATGCTTTATATCTTTCCACATTCCATTTGGAGTCACATTTTGTCTTGTAGACCCTTTCACAGCCTACTGTTTTGGCTCTATTAGGAATTTCTTCTAAGTCCCAAACATCATTGGTATTCATCGAATTCATTTCAACTTTCATAGCTTCTTGCCATTCAAACGAGTAAACGCTTCTCATGGCTTCTTCAAATGAGGTGCGATTACCCTCTATTTGAATTTTTTCACTAACATAGACTTCATAGTCATCAGAAAACTGGTTTACTAATTCTTTGAGACCTTCTGGGGCCTCAGCTACTGGCACTTTCATGTGGGGCTGTTGTTGCTCTTCATTGCCAAGAGGAAATTGATTCTATAGGCTCCTGTATCACAAGATCCTTGTTTACATTATTCATCTTCTTCGAAGAGCCAACAACAGGTATTGTATAAGTCATACAACATCAACAGGTATCGAGAAATTCGTTGTTTTGAATCACTGAAGTGGGCACGTAGTCCCGCTTCTCTTCAAGTCATAGGTCTCTACATATCGTGCTCCCCCGGATCGTCCCATCTTTTATAAAGATAGTGTATCTTCCAATTTCTTATTTAGGTTCAATCTGTTAAAACCTTATATGGCGCTTTAAGCACCGCTTTAATATCTTTGATGGTGACTACACTATCTTTCTCTCGGAACTTTAAAAAATCCAGAAATTTAGCTATTTCTCTGCTTAGGGGTATCATTGTTATGACCGATGGTCACATTCATCAAAATCTTTATCTCACTCAATTTCTTATAAAACTGCATCTCACTCTTAATGAAGAGTACACATTCATCAACATATTTATCTCACTCTTAATGAATAGTAGTTTCTTAATTGTCTTAATTCTTACTCTTAATTCATCTCACAATTCTCCCCTTGAAATATGGCATGAACTATACTGCCATAATTTTGAGAACTATTCAGAAAACTGTGAACGAGGAGACACTTATGACTTACTTCATTCATATGATTATGCCATGCAAATAAAGTTATTTCTTGATCCATATAGGAGTACACTTTCCTCATTCCACTTTAAGAACTCAACGATATCTTTTATTAACTGTACTTTTGCAAGTCACGCTTGCATCTTTTTCTTGTCCTTTGATTAGTATTGATCATGACGGTGCATTTCTATTGTGGCATGGTCAATACTAGGATAGCATAAGAGCTACCCAAACTTCTCTCGCTACGCGGGATAAAAAACATATGAGTCATCATAAAACTTCTCCCGCCATGCAGGATTGACTAGCATAAGTATTATGCTAAACTTCTCCCCATGCGGGATAAATCTATATACAAATTACCATAACGAAAAATTTAGTCACGATGACTAAAACATTCACTTATACTTGATTTTCCAATTAAATCTTCCTATTGGTTCTAATTTAATCAGAAAATTAGTAAACTAACAAAAAAAACTATCCTGAACTGGCTTGACTCAAGCCTTTTCATTCACATACCCCAGCATTGCAGCCCATTGGCATGAAGCCGAGTGATCTCGTCGGTTAAAAAAATAAGACTTACAAGATGCTTTTGCATCAATTCTACATCACCGTTGGGCAGAAAATAGAATTAATGCATAAAACTCATAAATTAACTTGAAAGACATATAACTACTCTTCAAAATTAAATTCTCCCATTGATTCAAATTTAATTAGAAGATAATTAACATCATTGCAGCGAAACACGATAATAAAATACATTCTATTAGTTCAGGAGCATTTCTTGTCTTTATCTACTCTCTGAAAAATTGACCATGTTGGTGTAAAATTTATCAGAGATTTAAACTTCAACCTTAAACTCATTATAATATTGTTATCATCAACGTTGGTCAGAAAATAACAATACCATAATTTAACATAAATAAATCGGACTACTCCTCTAATTTAAATTTTTCCGTTGGTTTTAATTTAATTAGAGGATAAACATAATCATAATTTACTAAAAGTAACTGCTCTTCAAATTAAATTCTCCCGTTGGTTCGAATTTAATTAGAAGATAATCAGCTTTAAACTTTACAGCATAAAACATAAAAAATAATTTATCTACTTTTCAGAAGCATTTTACTGTGTACTTATCTACTCTCTAAACAATTTATCCCGTTGGTTTAAAATTGAATAGAGATGATAAACTAATCAAAATTCATCAAAATTCGCTTCTAAAAATAATAAACAAATTCACACTCATTACTGTGCATTCGCCCACTGGGAGAAGCAGTCGCTGCCCATTTCTTCTCAAGATCCATGCCAAGGCTGCTCTGCAACAACCAACATGCCTGGCCCAACGGCTTAGCCCCTAGCACAAGACGCTGGGCTCCTCTCGCCCAAAGCGCTTAACTTTGGGCCTAGGCCGGATTTTCCAAACCCGCTTTGGGCCGCTTTCGCCTGAATCTCTCTAAGCCTTCCATCTTCATCCGACGATCACCTTCTTCATTTTGTGAGATCAAACCCGGTCGCCTCGGCGGTGCGCCCTAACCCTAACTCATTTCTACCTTTCTTCTTCTCTTTCACCGCCGCAATCAGAAACGAAAGGAGCAGTGGTGTAGTGGCGCCACCACCGATCCCCTCACTGGCGTGCGCGCTCGCCCTAGGCTGAGTGCGCCGCCGTCGAGTGGTCTAGGCGACGGTGCCCTAGTCCCCCGTACGCGCTAACCCTAGCTCTATCCCTCTCTTCGCTGCACACCATAGCTGCCGCACCTGAGATCTGAAGGGCGGACGTGACTCAGGAGGTGGCGGCGCCATCCTGGCGCCCTTCGCCGGTGCACGCGTGTGGCTGGAGCCGTGCGCGGTGCCGTCGAGCGGCACCGCGGTGGTGCTCTTTGCACCCTACGCACGTGTACACGGCACCGCAGAGTGTCGGTGAGGCGGCTGCTCTCTTCCAGCGTGCACGGTCTTCCCGCACGCCGGTGGTGTCGCCGGCGATGAGGAGAACCTGGGTAGGTCTCTCGCCTCGCCGACCTCTCTTCTAGGGTTACGGTTAGGGTTAGGGTTTGGGTTCCGATCCAATTTGAATCACTTGATTCTTGATTTCTATTCTGTTTTCTACCCCAATCTGCTAGATCTACACACTAGGACCATGGATCTAATACCATTGATAGACTTATAGGACCTCTAGGTGTAGATCAGTGGGGAAATTCTTAACTTAGATAAGCAGACTTGGTAATGTACCTCGTCTAGTGTAGTCGCAGCCGTGGCGCCGCCAACAAGGTGGCCGCGACATGTTTGGTGTAGGGAAGCCGTGTAGGCGCCTGCTAGGTCATCGACGGTAGCAGTAGCGTAGGCGCGGACCAGTGGCGACGGTGAAGGCGGTGTGGACTTCCCATCGTTTACAGCGCGCCCTTCTAGATCGGACTAGGGCTAGGAACCTTGGTGGGGCGCTGGTGGCTACGGTGAACCTCGTACCTTGCGCCCCGGCCTCCACCTTCCTCTTTATAGTGTTGTGCGATGGGGGCCCATCAGCCAGGAGAATGGCTGGGCGCCCCCAATCAGGGCGTGGATCAAGGGCCCAATTGGCCGTTGGGCCAACTGGTGGAGATCAATCTACACTTTTTGTGCCACACGCTAGAAAACACAGCCAACCTCAGCCCACCAGGTGCCTAGACAGCCATAGGCAGCAACCTACAAAGAAGCTGTTGCAGTGACTTAGTACCAGCCCAGCGCCATAAAATACATTCCTCAGAAAGAAACTATAGCTAAAACTTTTTGGACACTAGACTAACACCCACAAAGACACAGCACCAACTGTGATTGGTGTTACCATTTTTTGTGATCAGTCTACCTCATTGGTTCAGGTTTCCATTTGTTAGTGCATAAATCTTAATATTATTTCCCATATTAATGTCTCCTTTCTAAAAAAACTAGAATGCAAAAGAGAATGAGTACCCGTCTGGAGTAGCACCTTCTTTGGAGTTTCTAATTACATCAAAGGATATTACTGGATCTGGTGCATCCTTGACTTTGCTGATTTTCAACAATGAGAGGGGATTCTCATCGACCAATATAGATTCCATTTGTCGTGTCGGGAAATCAACAAAGAAGGTTACATCCGAGAGAAAGGTAAATATTTGCAGCTGAGTCAATCTTTTGTGTTTTGTTTTTCACCAATTAGAAACACTTGAACTTTTTTTAAAGGAAAAATTTGTTGGAATTGTCAAAGATTGTGATAGCTGATATAGATGAAATTATATTGTTAAATGGCAGGAACTATGTTCAGCGTTGATACTTAGAGTGTTCTGTTATCTCTATTCACGAACACAAATCGGTTTTGCTTTTCATGGAAGCAAAATTAGTTAGAACTGTTTTGTGAAACTGAAGCAATATAATAGCAAATAAATACCAAATAGTACTTTAATTCCCAATTACTGGAAGTTTGTCTAATGCTTGATGCATTGATATGACACTGACTAAGTATGACCACTACTTAAAATTGTCACTTTTGGAATTTATGCATTTCCTATAAGTTTATTGGGTGGCCAGTGACGTTGGGAGAGAGACCTCCTTAATTGTGGTACTGGAGCTCACACATATGTATCCCATTTATCTGGGTCAAGTTCTTTTTAATACATGTATTAGTATGGATAATAATGGAAAACATTGATCATGACCTTCAAATGTTTTGTTTTTTGATGAACTAGTTTAACTCAGCCTGTGAGCTATTCCTTAGATGTGCTAGTTTTCTTCTATGTATATCAATTCAAATTCATATAAGTTGTCTGAATGTGTTTCGGCAGCCAAAATCTGTTATGCATTCTTGTCATTATTGCTTGACTGTATGCCGATCCATTTCATTTCATTTCAAAGAGTTGCCTCAATACCAGTTCTAATATTTTGTGCCTTTAATTTAGGTATTGGGTTCAAGAGTGTTTTCTTGATATCAAGCCAGCCCCATATATTTAGTAATGGTTACCAGATCAAGTTCAATGAGAAACCATGTGCTGAATGCAATATTGGGTACATTGTCCCTGAGTGGGTGGAATCTGGACCTACCCTTTCAGATATCAAAGCCATATATGGATGCTCCAAAATCCTACCTACAACCACAATCATCTTGCCATTGAAGAGCGAGAAGGTTGATGCAGTGAAGAAACAGCTGTCAAGCTTGCATCCTGAAATGCTACTGTTCCTATCAAAAATCAGAAAGCTTTCTGTCCAGGAGCATGACTCTGATCCAAAGAGTAGCACTGTTAGCGAGATCTCAGTTTCCAGTGAAAAGAACTACCAAGCCAGAAAGAACATGCATGCTGAGTCTTATACACTCCATTTATCAGCTGAAGAGAGTGGAAAAGGAGAAGAAGAATGTGGTTATTATATGTGGAGGCAGAAATTCCCAGTCAAGCCAGAGAACAGGGTTGATAAACGTGCTGAAGTCGATGAATGGGTGATAACCCTGGCGTTTCCACATGGTCAGAGAACAGTCTGACTTCATCCTTGCATCATCAAGGGTGGCAATACTGTTCGACAGTCCATGGAACAAGGGAATTCTCAAGTGCGTTCCAAGTGCTTTCATGAATGCTCTTGTAACACTTGTGAAGTCCAGAGCTGATGCACCTGCATAATGTGTCTGCCATCAATGTTCAATTTCCTACCTGTCAATTCTTCATTGATTCCACTGCTTGAGCCAGTTAGGTCTGGCATAAAAAATAAGGTTCTCGCCGAGGATATAGTTCCATGTGAATCTTATGCTTCACAGAAGATATTCTGCAAGCCCAGTGAAGTTGCACGGCTTAAGCCAGCCTTTTGGACTATCCTTGGCAAAGCACGGGAATCTGGTGCAGATTTGAAGAGTCTGTCAACTCATGGAACCTACATTCTTAGTTCCCATTTTGACAATAGTAGATACAACAGTGTGCTTGAGTTTCTTGGTATCAAAAGCGTGAGCACTGAATGGTACGCAAAATGCATTGAAGGGTCTAATCTTGTCAAGGAGGTACATGAGCAGCTTTACTTGGAAATCTTATATTTTGTCGCGTGTAATTGGCAAAACTGTTTTTCTGGTACAAACATGATGTCTGTTCCCCTACTGAAATATGTTGATCGGAATGGTGTTCTCTCTTTTGGAGCATATCCAGAGCTAGTCAACAGAATGATAGGTTATGCACTGCATCTAATATGAACTGTACATCATGGCTAATCAGCTGGAACAGGGAGTTTTCATCTTCTAATCGGTTCTTTCTCCATCCCAGCACACAGGCTACTCTGGATAGTTTCTCAGAGAAGATGACAGTGGAAAGCTGGCTTCGGAACCATGCAAGAATGGAGGTTGTCTCTGTCTACAGTTATGGATTGACTGTTGCTGCTTCCTTGAGTATTGATCGAAGGCCTGTCATTGCTTTTGCACACTTTCTGTACCACTCATTTAAGATGAATTATATAGAGAAGTACTGGTTATCAGAACTCTGCCATGTCATGCCGGTAATTGACAGCGGTGGCCATGTTGTCAAGGAAAGAAAAAGCATAATAGTTCCAGCCAATGGGAGCAAATGGGTTGGTTTGTTGGGTGCAAACCCATGGAGGGATAAAGGCTACATTGAATTGTCAGCAGATTACAAGTCAGTAGGCCATTTTGCTGGGAACTACACATCTAAGGATCAGCTGTTGGAATTTCTCAAGATGCATCTGCATGCCTCAGATGTGCCATTCATACACCCACCAAATGCGAGGTTCCATACTGTCTCATCGCCTCTCACAGTGGACAATGCATTCTTGCTACTGGAATGGATACGGAATATCGTCGTCGTCCGCATCCAGCGTCTCCAGCGCTGCGGAGGTAGGGGACACGAACTCGACGGGGACCTGATCCTTCTGTGGCAGTTCACCTTGCCACGGTACTGGACATCCTTGGACTCGTGGCATGCGCGATGACGACATGGTTGTGGGCGCCGCCGATGAAGCCGATTCCCCGGGCATGGAACCCGGTGGTGTCGAGCCTGGTGGGGTCGGTGCCGCGCCTGGTGATGCAGCGCGACCCCCCGGTGAGGCCGTTGTGGAGCCGGGTCCTGCTGGTGTGGCAGCGACCGTCTCCTCTTCGCCTGGACTCACCCATTCATCCTCCACCACAAAACCGTCTTGCTCAACACTATTCATGATCTCTCCATTGTCGCCTTCGTCACATGCGCCCCAGTCCTAGGCCGCCCCTTCTTCAAACACCACGTCGCTCGTGATATGCACACGGTTCGCAGTGGGATCGAGCACCCTGTACGCCTTTGATCCCTCCTCATAGACGATCAGCACCATCTTCCGGCTCCTGTCGTCCAACTTCCCGGCGTTTGGCTTTGTGACTTTGACATGAGCCACGCAGCCAAACACACGCAGGAAGTGGACGGCCAGCTTGACACCGTACCACGCCTCATATGGCGTCCGGCCCACCAGGCTCCACGTCGGGGCTCGATTCAGGAGGAAGACAGCTGTCATCACAGCCTCCCCCCAAAGCCAGGCCAGAACGTTCTTGGCCTTCATCATGCTGCGCGCCATGGCGAGCACGGACTGGTTCCTCCGCTCCACCACGCCGTTTTGCTGGGGACTGTACGGCGCGGTCCGGTGACGCTTGATGCCGTGCTCGGTGCAGTACTCGAGGAAGCTCGCCGACATGAACTCCCCCCCACGATCAGTGTGGAACGCTTGAATCCGCCGCCCAGCTTCATTCTCGACGCCGGCGCGCAGACGTTTGAACGCGTTCTCGGCGTCCGACTTGTTTGCGAGTAGGACCGCCCACATGTACCTGGACATATCATCGACGGCGAGCATGATGTACTTCTTACCACCGGGAGTTGGTGGTGTCATTGCGCCGCATAGATCGCCATGGATCAGCTCCAGGGGCTTGGTGGCGCGGTACTTGGCCGCATGCGGGAACGGCGCTCGACGCTGCTTCCCAGCCAGGCACGCGTCGTAGACGTGCTCGACGTGCTCGATGGAGCGCAGCCCGCGCACCATGCCACCGCAACTCATCTTCTGTAGGGCCTGGAACCCCAGATGGCCGAAACGAGCATGCCACCTCCACTCGTCGTCGTCGTAGCTTGCGGCCAGACACACCGGCCTGGTCGGCTTGAGCGGGAGGATGCACAGGCGATTAGGCGTGCGCTTCACCTTGGCCAGCAGCTCCTGGCTCCCCTTGTCCCACATCCGGAGGACGCCGTCGTCGATGTCGATCTTGTAGCCTGTTTCGTCGAGCTGCCCGATGCTGAGGATGCTGCTGCGGAGCCGCGGGATGTAGTATACGTCATGGAACGCCCGATGACCGCCGTCCTTCGACTCGAACAGGATGGTGCCGCGCCCCGCTATCTCCACCAGGGAGCCATCCCCGAACTTCACGGATCCGATGACACCGTGACTGAGCTCGGAGAAGGTGGGCGCATCACCGGTCATGTGATTCGACGCACCGGTGTCGAGGTACCACTTCAACTCTCCGAGATCACCGCCATCCTCCATGTCCGGCACGATCTTGCGTTCGTTGAGGAAGACATGCTCGACGGGCCCGTTCTATGGACGACCTTCTCCGTCGGGGTCACCACGGCCATGTACAGAGAGGCCGTCTCCTCCTCCGCCTTGACGAGGTTGGCCTGAGGCTGATTCACCTGCGCCGCCACCTCGTCGCGCTTCTTCTTCCGGCACTCCTGCTTCCAGTGCCCGGACTTGCCGCAGTAGTGGCAGGCGTCATCATCGCCCTCCCGGCCGTTGCCCCCTTTGGGTGGCCCTGAACGCGTTTCCTTCCCGCGTTCCTTGCCGTGGCCCGTACCGCCGCGACGCTTGCCGGAGCCGGCCGGCACCTTGACGCGCCCCGTCGACCCGTCGGAGTTGAGGTTGAGGCGGGACGCGAGGCGCGCCATCACCTGCTCCTTGGTGAAATACAGCTTGCCGTCGATCTCCTTGCCGACGCCGACGCCACCCGAGCCTCCGCCGCCTTTTCCTCTCGCACGATCGAGCCGTTCCTCAACCGCCTTGAGCCGCCCCACCAACTCCTCCAGGGAGACTGCCTCGAGATCGAGGAGAGTCTCGATGGCCGCTGCAATTTGATGGAAGCGATCTGGAACGGCTTGAAGAAACTTATGGACGATCGTCTCTTCCTCGTAGGCGTCACCCAAGATGGCGAGCTGGTCGGTGATCTTGGTGATGCGATACGCGAAGTCGTCGACGGTCTCCCCCTCCTTGAACGTGAGGCCGTTGAACTCTTGACGCAGAGTCTGCGCTCTGGCCTTCCGCACCCGATCGACGCCGATGTGGCGTGTCTTCAGTGCATTCCACACCGCCTTGGCCGTGGGCTTGTTGGCCATCGTCCCGCGGAGCTCCTCCGGAACCGCCTTGCACAGCGCCTCCAGGGCGTTTCGGTCGTCGGTGAAGCTGTTGGTGCCGACATTGATGGCATCCCACAGGTGCCTGCCCTGCATCATGACGCGCATCAGCGCTGCCCAGTCGGTGTAGTTTGTTCTCGTCAGCATTGGCCACCCAGCGTTGTTGCCGAGCTCCTTGACCGTGCGGTGAAGCACCAGCCCACGATCATCCCCGCCGCTACCTCCAGAGCGGCCGCCGGGTGGAGACCAAGACCACCGCCGCCGCGGCGACCTTGAGTTGTTTCTTGGCATGAATGTTGCGGTGATCGCTCGGTGACGATCCCAGCGACAAAATCGGGCTTTGATACCAGTTGTTGAACTAGAATCTCTCTCAATTCTCGCTGGAACGGACGAAGCCGCGTTCAAGCACAGAGACTGGGTTTTGGCGCAGCGCTCAAACTGCTGCTTTTCTTGTTTTCTCCTTTTTATTGACTCACACCATTACAGACTCGGTAAGGCCACGAACACCATCGCCCACGTCCGATCTTCTTGCTGCGCCATCCCACAGCCACGGAACGTGGGCGTCAATGCCGGCCTAGTTTCCACCACTCACGCACACTTGCATGGAAAGAAAAACGTGCACGGCGCTGAACTGGCCGCGCTCACCGCTAATCTAGGACACACCTAACAGAATACATGCAACGCAACAAACTTTATCACAACAATATCAAGTCAAATGGTGTAATTTTACCAGATCGATTCCTGGCTTCTGTAAAAGAAGGGAGTTGGCTAAAGACATCGGTTGGGTACAAGCCACCAAATTAATCATTTCTGTCCAGTGCTAACTGGGGAAGTCTTTTGCAAAGTGGAACTTCATTCATCGATATACCAATGATTGATCAACAATTCTATCGAAACAAGCTGCATGTGTACAAACAGGAACTCAAGGCAATTGGGGTGAGATTTGAATTTCAGGAGGCATCTTCTTACATTGGAAGCCATCTCATGTCTATGGCTGAAAGCAACATGTTAACCAGAGACTGTGTGTACTCCTTGCTTCGGCTCATTCGGTTCCTACGAGAGAAGGTTCTATCTCCAAGTCAATTGATTGACAGTGTCAAAGGTGGAGGTTGGATGAAGAATACTCTTGGCTATAGGCGTCCTTCTGATTGTATCACCAAAGATTCAGAATTGGCAGTGGCATCTTGTATCAGTGACCAACCATTCCTTGATGTCTAGTTCTACGGCGAGGGCATCCTTTCATATAAACCAGAGCTGGAGTTGCTTGGTGTTATTATTGGGTTCAAAAACAATTACCATCTTGTTATTGATAACTTCAAGTTCAGATCCTCTGCTATTACTTCTGAGTCTACTGTATCATCCTCAAATGCATCCTCTATGTTGGTTCTTGTCAAGATTTCATAAGGAAGCCCAGAGATTTGAAATGGGTGAAGACTAATGTGGGATTTTGTGCTCCAAATGTCTCTTTTCTTGTGGATTCTGAATGGGAGTGCTTTGTGAAGATCTTCAAAGGACTTCCAATAACTGATTTAGGATTTTATGGGAGTGTGATCAGTTCATACAAAGAAGAGTTGAAGAAGGCCGGTTTGATCACACGATTTGAGGAGGCATCGAAGGCTATAGCCAATGTTTTCAAGCGCATGGTATCTGAGTCATCACTTACGAAGGCTAATGTCTTAGCTCTACTACTAGCTTACCGGCAGCTGAGAACACACAGCCCACTTCCTGTTGAGCTTTTCAACTGCATGCGCACAGAGAAGTGGATACACACATCACTAGGGTTCCAATCTCCCTCAAATACAATCCTATTTGATAACGCATGGCAATATCTATCTCCCATAGCAATATTACCGTTCATGGATGATGGTGACACTTGTCATGGTTTGGGGAAGGAAATATACGGTTATAAAGATGAGCTTAGGGAGTTGGGTGTTACTATTGAAGTGAAATTTGGTGCCAGATTTGTCCTTGCTGGCCTCAGCATTCCTGATGATCCTTCCATTATGTCCAAAGCTACCATTTTGTCGTTTCTGGAGTGTATCAAGAACTACTTTGACTCTGCAACTCAACCCCCAAAGGGCTTTAAAGACAAGATTTCCAAGAAGTGGTTGAAGACATCCTTGGGCTACCAATGTCCTGATGAATGTATTCTCTTTGATGCAAAACAATGTTTTCTACACATGGAAGATGGCCCTTTCATCGATGAAGCATTCTATGGTTCAGAGATAGCTTCATTCAAACATCCCCTTGCGATGATTGGAGTGTCTGTGGATTTTTATTGTGCACAAGATCTTATTGCCCGGTATTTGAGGAATAAAACATATACAGATACTATTTCCCGGATCTACATGTATCTGAAGAAATGTGACTGGAAGCCTGACAACAACAACAGAAATTGGATTTGGATACCAAATGAAACAGAGGGTGGAGACTGGGTGAGCTCAAGAAGTTGTGTTCTGTATGATAAGAACACAATCTATTTGGCCTGCAGCTGCATGTTCTGGACAAATATTATGACAGAAAGCTGCTTGACTTCTTTTCACTTGCTTTCAGTGTGAGGCATGGACCTTGTTCTGAAGACTACTGCAAACTATGGGCCACATGGGAGAGTTCGGTCCACGAGCTAGCCATATCTGATGGCCTCGCTTTCTGGAAATTCATTGCAACGAACTGGACCAAGAAAACAGAGGAAATTCTTTCTGGTTGTGTCAAGGTTCCAGTATGTACTGATGGCAACATTATTTTTATCAAACAAGGAGAACGTGTTCATACCTGATGATCTACTGCTGGCAGATTTGCTCAGCAAGCATCCTCAGCAATCACTATTCATCTGGTATCCTTCTTCTGCTCTACCTTCCATGTCTCGAGCAAGGTTCAACCGCATATATGGTAGTATCGGTGTCAAGACAATCTCAAAAGCAGTCACCAAGAATGATTCCTTCACTTCAGCTAATAGCCGTTTCAAAACAGTGGTTCTGAGTAAGGTGATCAAGGTTGGGTTGCTCCAAATAGTCCTCGCATACCTTTCGAATCCTGCTTTTGACATTCCTGCTGAAGATAGGCACAAGATGGTTTCTTGCCTCCTGAATGTGACTATCGAAGAGACCGATGAACCGATCACAATGGCATACAGTGTGAGTTTGTCCTCTGGAGAGGTGGTGGAGGTGAAGGCCAGACGAATGCTTCGGTGGGAAAGGGAGAATTCAAAGCTGTACATGCAGAGAACTGATGGCGTATCCAAATACGAAGACAAGATTGAATTTGCGACCTACTTTGCACATGAGATATCTCATGGGTTGCTGTTTCAGATGCCAGATCAGATATCTTTGCTCGCTGAACTCATAAAAATTGGCAGCTTACTGGACTTCGAGCCCCTGCCGCTGTTGCGTTCTTGCTGAAGTCGAAAAACCTGCAGCTGTTCCCTGAAGATGAAGATTTCCTGTTTCGTTCAAAAAAGATGAAGATTTCCTGAACTCATCACCGCTAGGTACACGTCCTGAAATCTACATTAGCATCTTGTGATTCTGATTTTTCTCAAAAGTACATCATTACATAATCTACCGATGGTCTGAGGCTAATTTCAATGCACAGGTGGCAGCAAAAAACCAGTGAACAACTAGCAGCCTGCAGATTTTATTCTTTTGTACTTGTTCAAGGTTAGTAAATTACTGTCTTCTCGTTCAAAAAAAGTAAATTACTGTCTTCAATACTTTACTGCCCATTTGCATCCATGTACTGTTTCAAGGCTGCACCAGTTTTTCTTGATGCAACGAAGTCTTACGTAAGTTATCTTGTGCGCAGATTGCTGATGGCCTGCAATCCCTAGAAAAGAGTGTTGCGCTTGTGCCTGGAGGCTCCTGAATATCACCAACGTTGGTGTCTTCTATGATGCATATGTATCATCGTCAGTCTGCTATCTCCCTATTACAGTTATGGATTCAGTGCCTCCTGGTACAAAACATGTCAGTTGTTTCGGTAGTGTTAAATGACACCAAGTACTTGAATGAAGTGTTACTATTATTATCGTCAGTGCCTTGTGTGTGCTCCGTTGATTTATGGTCCCGCTACCTGAGTTGTGTTTGTTTGAGATTTGTGGCAGTGACCGTGATCTGTTAATTGCACGGTTTTTGCTTGTACTGGAGGCCAAATAGATTCGTTTCCGTCGGTGTATATGCTAGGCGTATCAGTTGCAGTCTTGCCGATGAAAGTTGTCATGCTTTTGTATCCAGGATAGCATACTGCTTGTTCTTTCACCTCTCCTGAAATGCACTACTAGATGTCAAACAAGTTTATTTGCCACTGCTCTAGAAGCATTGATCATCCTAAATTGGATGCTCTACTATTGCAACACATCGTCATTTTGTTTCTCGATTTTTGTTTTTTAGATAATGGCCGTGTTTAGCACTACTATGGCCGTGTATATGAATATCACCAGCATTCCAGCGACCGACATTTTGCACGTCAGAACTACTAGTACATGTTAACGACCGTTTTCTGAATATGTGAGGTGACGAGCTGGTGGCCACATCAACCCTAGCTCCAGCATCGGGAGCAATCCAGTACTAGTACGTCCTGCTGCTTTCGTACGTTCTAGTGACAGGCTGACAGCACACGGCAACAGTGGAAGACTGACCTAAAATACTGTATCTTGTTTAGTTGGTCGGCCCTGGATACTTTCTTTACAGACGACTGCAAAAGCTAGGTTGTCGACCTTAAGATTTCGAAGCCATGGTGATTTAAATTTCCAAGCTGCTATTAGAGTACGTACTAGTATGTAATACTCTTAGGAGTATGTAATTAGCCAGGTGATTTAAAGCTAGTAGAGTACACTAGTACAGAGACGGTCTTTACTTCTAGTGGGGAACCCCCTCTAGTCCCGGTTCCCCACCCGGGAGCAAGCATCCGGGACTAAAGGGGTCTTTTAGTCCCGGGTCAGGAACCGAGACTAAAGGGGACCTTTAGTCCCGGTGGGTAACACCAACCGGGACTAAAGGTACCTCCTGACATGCCACGAGGCCGGCACCCTTTAGTCCCGGTTGGTAATACCAACCGGGACTAAAGGTTATTTTTTTTCTTTTCATTTTTTTGTTTTCTTTTCAAAATAGGTTTTCGAAGTCGTATTGTACGCTGCTAATAATACATTTATACGCGTGTATAGTATGTTTCGGTTCAAGCACGATGAACGTATTAAATGACATAATTCAAACATAGAACTATATATATATATATATATATATATATATATATATATATATATATATATATATATGCATGCATGCATATGTGTATTTTAAATTATATTATTTCATGTGTATATATTACAAAAGATTGCATTACAGTTGTTGTGATATAACAAGTTTTCTCTCATCCTCTAGCTTGGCTTCCATGGCAGTGTTGGGTCGAAGTAGAACTCGCCCTTGGAATCGATGACCTGGTCATTAAAAAATCCGGCTATAGACTCTTGAATTGCTTTGAACTGGTCTTGCCGTATGACCTTTTCCTCCAACCATCAAGCCTACAGGTTTGAATTAAAGGAAAATAAATTAATATATGTACATACATACATATATATATATATATATATATATATATATATATATATAAATACATAGTAACACAATTAATAATAATAATTAAATGAATATATAGTGTATTTTTAACGTACTTTGAGTCTCTCTGTAGGAGTTCTTTGGGAGACCTCTTTGATAAACTTGTAACCACAGTAGTTGTTCCCCTGTTCCTGCTTCAGACACCACTTTACGAGAAAAAGATTTATCATCCAATCTTGTGATCCGGTGAAAGCTATATGTTTAATTAATAAAGATGATGCGATTTAGGAGACTTACTTTCAAAGGGATTACATTCAGTGGCGCTTTGTATTTTCCCATGTGTTGCTTCTCAATAAAGGTTTTCCAAACACTGCCCAATAAAAATTTACCACGTCAACAGATATAGTTAATCATCATGTTTGTGTGTATATATAGTTGCTAGAGATACCGAAATTACCTATGGATAATATCTATCATATCTTGGTAGTCTTGTTGTGGTTTTCTCATCGAGTCATAGATTATCAAGTGACTTTTCACCAGATCGATGTCCATCAATATCCAGTGATTGCTGCATGTGTTTATAGGATATAACGCATAACACTCATTAATTAACTAGAATCAACATATGAGCCATTAAGAATGATCGACATTATTAACACTCACTTGAAGTTGTAGGGAAAGAGTATATTCTTCTTGTGGCGTTGGTTCACTAATAAGTTCATGAGGTTACTCTCTGACTCAGACTTCCAATTAGGCTTTGGAGTAACTGGGTCTTTGAATACTATATGGGGATCAACAAAACCAATTTCATTGCAGCATTTCTTTCTGCGCTCTGTCATTGTAAATCTGCATATATATAGTACTTGTTAGGATAATTTATATGCATATACACACATATAATGAGTTTAATAATAGATCGAAAGAATTATTACTTACAGGCAATAGCAGCTAATGATAACTTTGTCCAGAGAGGTCAGGTGGCATAGTTGATGAAATTCTGCAAAGTCAACATACATAACATCATCACCACGGAACCAATGTTTGTCTCTAATTCTGACACCAACGCAGAAGTCTCCACCGGTAGACGCCTGCATGTACCACTTGTTTAGCAGGTACATTTGCGTCCCCAGATCACCTAAGGCTTGAGGGTTGTATAGACTCTGGCCTAGTACAAATTTTTTCTTCCAAATATCAACCTCCGCCGCACTCTCAATGTTTCCATCACCAAACATCTGGTAAAGGTCGAGACCAGTCTCTTCAATAAATTCACCAAGGTGATCTAAATCGACATCCGGAGGTATGTTTGCCTGATGCATTAATCCTAAATTCGAACCATATTCATTACCAACAACTAGCGGGGGGACTGATTGGTGCGATTGTTGTCCGAGTTGTGCAGCTCCTTTCCCTGCCCGCTTCTTTTTCTGTGCCGCCTCAATTGACTTGGTGAGAGTGTGGTCATAGTCCGTTAACGTTGCTTTGGATGGCTTACGAGATTCCCGCTGTTGTTGCTGGTAAGAAGCCACCTTTTTTCTTAGAATATCTGGAGCTACGAAGAAGTACGGTTTCTCCGGGTTTCTCCTTGCTTCTTGATCCTTTTTAAGTTTGTCATAGAATCTAGACATATCTTTTTTATATGCATCACTTACTTCTTCCTTCTCTTCAGATATTATTATGGGAATAGCCCTTAGTTTCACGGTGCCTTTCTTTGCCGGCGGAGGCTGGTTCTTCGTTTGCGGGGCTGGCCTCTTGCTAGTACTTGGCTTCTTGGTAGGCGGGGGCGGGGGAGGCGTTGGATATCTCCTTGGAGTTTGTGGCAGCGGCGTTGGAGACCTCCTTGGAGGTGGCGGCTGCGGCGTTGGAGACCTCCTTGGAGATGGTGTGGATGTAGCCTCGCCTTCCAACACATTGTCATCGTACAGAGCACTATGATGATTTGGCGATTGAACAATTCCAACACATGAAACCGTCGCGTTTGTTTGCCTCGGCCGCACGTAACAAAGAATGCACGCCGTCAATGAACTCTTGGGAGCGGCGATCAGCATTGTACATCCAATGCCGGCTCATCTGCATTATATGATATAAATACCATATTAAAACCTAGATCATAATTAATTATTTATACAACATGCGTGCCACCACAAAAGGTACAAATTTATGAAAGCATCGCTACAATGTAGACAATCCCAACTACCACTAAAGGAACTAAAGCTAAAATACATTTCAGGAGCACAAGGATTTCGCGACCAATCTCAACTAAAACAGACAGATCCCCCGATTGTGCAATATCTTTGGGCTTCTTCGGCTGGATCACTGCCTCATTAGCCTCCATATCTGCCTGTTGTGCAAGATATTTTTGCACGAGTTCAACATACTCTTCCTCCCAGTAGAAGCCTGAACATCGTCCACTGCCATCCCACTGAAATTAAAACAAAAAATTAGAACTTTAATCACAACCATCATGAAAATAGGTATAAACTAACCATAATCATAAAATAAGATAAAATAACTCACATTGCGATCCGGACACTTGTAGAAGATACGACCCTTGTTGGGACCCTCCTTCTTCACTCGGTACTCCATCACAATCTTCGTCTCATCACGACACTTGCCGCATGGAATGAGAGGGAGGCCCGGCCTAAGTCGCTTTGGAAACCCATGAGAGGCCGAGGACCCGGAAGCAGTTGCCATCTACTCTCTATACTCATTTTTTAATACACTATAAATTTCTTATTTTATAAACAAATAAAATTAAGAAACTATAAAATTATCTATATCTCTAAACAATGAAGTGTGCTATGCATGCTAGAAATAAAAAGTGAATACTAATTTTAAATACCTACTTTAACCTTTCTTCATCCAAATATGCAAACTATAAGTTATTTTGAGCTCAAATTGTTTACAAATAAAAAAAACACCATAAAAACAATATATATATAGTGAACAATATGAGATAAGCCAATGATGAAAAATAAGAGTATGAGATTGGTAACCTTTACAACTGAAGAATCGACGGAGGAATCGAAGAATGGATAGAGGAACAATGGAGGGAGGAAGCAAGAACACTAGTGCAGTGAGCTTCAAAATGTGCTGAGCTCGGGCTCGGGGAGGAAGAAGGAGACGGCTGGGATATAAAGGGGGACCTTTAGTCCCGGTTGGTAGCTCCAACCGAGACTAAAGGTAACTTTCCAACCTCCGGCGCAGCCACGGCCCAGGAGTAGACCTTTACTCCCGGTTGGAGCCACCAACCGGAAGTAAAAGTATACCTTTAGTCCCGGTTGGTGGCTCCAACCGGGACTAAATGTCCCTGCTACCTCTGTCTGGCGCATTAGCCGTTGGGCAGGGACCTTTAGTCCCGGTTGTATCCACCAACCAGGACTAAAGGTCTCTCTAGTCCCGGGCGCAAAAAATGCCGGGACTAGAGCCCATTTTGACCGAGGATCAAATGTCTGTTCTCTACTAGTGGTAGTACTAGAAAATACATGTAATTAGCTCGAGCCAGCTCATTTGGCTCGTGAGCCCGGAACAAAACACACACATATATATATATATATATATATATATATATATATATATATATATATATATATATATATATATATATATATATATATATATATATATATATATATATATAAAATACTGGTTCAGGCACGTGGTGCCGTACGTTCAGTTTAAAGTATCTTCTCTCTATATTTGTATGCTCGGTTAGAGGAGTTGTTGCTCATAGCTATGTGCTAGAATGTAGAAGATGGGATCCCGATCGGAAGACCCCTGCTCCACCTTATTATAGACCGAGGGTAGGATTACAATAGATCCGATCAGCTATAAGATGTGTTTCCTAGCTAGTTTGTTACATAAAAAACATAACAAAATAATTCTATCCTATCGTCTAGATATGACGACATCGGATATCCTGAGAATGACTTAGATCTCCAAGCACGTGGATTCACCTGATCTACGTGAGCCTCATTTCTCGTCGTCTTCGTCCTGGTAGACAGGCTCGGATCAAATATATAGGAGGGGAAGGTATCCTGGGTCCATATATTCGACAGTACCCCTGACTTGATGACAAGCTATCGAATAGCTCTATCCTTCGGGTGTCGTAGTCCTCGGATAACGTAGGTCCCGATTAGCATTCCTCGGGTGTCGAGGCCTTCGAAAAGGTTGATGCCAGTCGCCCTCGAGTATCTTTGTAATTCAAGTGCTCTACTCTGAGTACCGAGAGTTATTCGACTGAGAGCATCTTCTGCATAGGGATTCCTCCCCTGTGCATGAGCAGATCTTGATTCATTGGTCGATGCGCGTCACCTTTATGTTTACTTTTAACGTAAACACATAGAAAGTGTGTAGTTTAAAAATATACATAACATACTTTACGGATGTTGAAATATTTTTGTAATAGGTTATATTAGCATTTACATCTATATTTGAGAGATATTTTTGTTATTGTTTATAATGGCTAAGGTGGATAATTTACATATGAACTAAAAGGTGTTACTTTCTAATATCTTTCATAATTGCATATATTTGTAATTTGAATGCAAACCTAGGGATTACTTTGTATCATCTTTCATAATGGCATATGTGGGTAATTCATAAAAAATACGATAGTGTTATTTTAAATTATCTTTCATAATAGCAGAGTTGGTTAATTTAGATATAAATCTAGAGGGTTATTATGAATAATCTTTTACTAATGGCAATTGTGGGTAATTTACATGTAAATTTTGGGGTTGTTTTGAAAATTCTTTCATAATGGCATATGTATGTAATTTAGATACAAATTTATGGGTTTGTTTCGAATTTTTTTTCATAATGGAAGAAGTGGGTAAATTAGATACAAAATTAGTGGGTTACTTTGCGTATTTTCATAATGGAAGAAGTAGGTAATTTAGATACAAAATTAGTGGGTTACTTTGTGTATTTTCATAATGATAAAGGTGGGTAATTTTTAATAAAACATAATAGATCCAATGTGTATTATTAGCACGGATGTTTAGAGATACTAAATTAAAGGCTAGATATTTCTGATTATTGTCCGAATTTCTAGGATTATTGTAAGAATTAACATGGAGCCTCCATTAGAGCATTAGTAATAGTAAGATGTTTTGTATTGCTAAGAAAAAACTTTTGAATACTATTTTGTTGACGAAAATTTTTGGAATACTATAGCACTATGCCTTCCCAAACACATCTAATAAATTGCACTACGAACAAAGGGTATATATCTTCCCTAATGTACTGCTAGTGTGCTACACTGTATATAGTCTTGTCAGGGGCTTTCTAATTACTTATTTTTGAGTGTATATTATTGTAATACACTAAGTAAGTCTTTTGTTTTTTTTTCAAATTCCAATAGTGGTTACTTACTTGATGATGATGTGTTATTAAGCAGGAGTGGTACAATTGGTAATACCTTTGAGTGGATCATATACTTGAGGTACAAAATGTTTTCGTCAAAACCTACCCAATTCTCCAATTCTTCCAACACAATCCGGCAGACTTCCCTAGCAAGGATGTCAGCACAAATAACCCTTGATGCTGAACTTGGCACAAAATATGATTACCCCATATTGTTAGAGGGGACCACCTCAAATCTACAGCAGGAGCGTTCAGAGGAGGACACGGCCTACTTGTAGTCATTTGGTTGCTTGTTGGTGCTTGATACAATGAGCCTCAATGTCATTGCATTCAGTGAAAATGCACCCGAGATGTTTAAAACAATCAGCCATGCAGAGCCAAGTATCTATGAATCCCCAATGTTGTCCATTGGGACGAATGCATTGTCACTTTTCATGGAATATAGTGCCACATCACTACACAAGGTACTAAGGTCTGCTGATGTTTCTTCTCTGAATCCAGTCCTAGCTGAATGCAAATCATCGGGCAAGCTGTTTTATGCCATTGCCCATCAGGTGACTGGGACTGGTTGTCTAGTGGTAGATTTTGGGCCAGTGAAGCCTTCTGAATTTCCTACTGCTGCTGCATGGGCTTCGCCGCAGTCTTACATGCTTGCGGCGCTGGCAGTATCAAAGATCCAGTCAGTGCCAGGTGGAAGCATGGAGGTCTTGTGCAATACTTTGGTACAAGAAATCTTTGACTTAGTGGGATATGATAGAGTCATGGCTTACAAGTTCCATGAAGATTATCATGGTGAGATCATTGCCGAGGTTAGAAAACCTGGTCTTGAACCATATATTGGCCTACACTATCCAGCCACTGATATCCCTCAAGCCGCCAGGATTCTTTTCATGAAGCACCAAGTTCAAATGATATGTGACTGCTCTATGAGGCCAGTGAAGATTATCAAAGACGAGGAACTCCCTTTTAATGTTAGCTTGTGTGGTTAAACTCTTGGGGTGCCACAAAGTTGTCACCTTCAGTATATGAAGAACATGAAATCGGTTGCCTCTCTAGTAATGGCTGTTGTGATAAATGAAAATGGAGAATATTCTGATGCCAAGCATGAACAACCAACAGAATGGCGTCACCCGAGGAAGAAGCTATGGGGCCTCATTGTTTGCCAGCATATGAGCCCCAGACATGTCCCCTTTTCGCTACGGCATGCATGTGAATTCATAGCACAAGTGTTTGCTGTCCACATAAATAAGGAGCTAGAATTGGAGAAGCAGATGCGACATAAAAGTATGATAAAAAGGTTAAAGGTTTTGTTCTCCACGACGTACCATTTTTTCTTCATTTGTTTTTTATTAAGTTCTCATAGCATGCTAGTAGTTTTTCTATCTGATTTACATCAATGTTGTAAGGGCCATTGGTTTAATAATGTTCCATTATATTTCTGGGTCCACAGGTCCAGTATGAATTTCGAGATGGGTGAACTTGTGTTACAAGACGTGTTAGAGGCCGCAATAAGTGAAGTACGGGTAGCTTGTCAAAGAAAAGGGATCACAGTATCTACCGACCATGCAGAGAAATTTCGCATGCAAAGGCTTAATAATACGAACTTAATGCAGCTACTGCAGAATGTCCTGTTCGACTTCCTGTTTGCTTCTGTGAAGTTCTGTCCTATTGGAGGTTCCATTGTAATATCTTGCAAACAGACTATGAAAATTGGAGAAAACATTAATACCATGGATCTGGAACTTAGGTACACTTCTCGTGCACTTTATTGCACTCATACAACATTTTCTGATATGAAGCAGTGATATACGAATAATCCGTACTTTCAGCTTGTTTTTTTAGCCAAAACAGTATTTTTCTCCCACAACAAATCAGCCGAAACAGTGTTTTAGCTTATTTTTCCAGCGAAGCGAATGGGGCCTTAAAAGCTAGCATTGCATTTGTGGGTTTCAGGATCAAGCACACAATGATAGCACTCCCAGAGGAAATGTTTTCGCAAATGTTAGGAGACAATGAAGAGCAGTCAGAGGAGGACTTGACCCTTGTAATTTGTAGAATTATTATGGCTTTTTTTGGTTGAGCTGTGGTTTTTGAAAAAGCTGCTGTGAGCTGAGAGCCGTGGGAAAAGCTAAAAGTCGTTTACTTGGAGCAGCTGTGAAACTGTAGGCTGTGTAAGAAATGTTTGTCATACCCCTAGCCTGAAGGTCCGAGGGACTAGTAATATACAAATTGCTCGTAAATAACTATTCTATTCACTTATTCGCATGTAAATGACTATTTTGTTGGAAAGGAAAAATTAATCTTTTCTGAGTTTTTCATCAATCAAAGTGATATGGTCCACATAAATAGAACAATAGCATTTTATAAAAGATAAAGGGCTCATACAATGATGTCATCCCTTAACATAACTATCCTCCTCTTGCACTAACCAAAGCATCAGCTATTCTACTATGAATGGTATCCTCATTCTCCACATATTCACACTCATCTCCCTGTGCATGTGTCATGCAACTTGTCTGTTGTACCAAGTATTCCTTATCAGCATCACATCTCTCAAACTTCTTATCACACAAATTATTGACACAAATAAAATTATACAATGCCAAATAAGCAATAATGATATGCTTTTGAGTACAAGTTGAGAAACTTGATATCCCCATCAAAATGGGCCACTTCTCCATCAATACTTCGAAAGCCCGCTCAATGACATTTCAAAGGGATAAATGCAAGAAATTGAACACCTCATACTTCCCTTGGGGTGGTCCAGAACGATGACAAAATTCTGTTATATGGTATGTGCTTCCTTTGAAAGGGGTAAGATACCCTATTTGGTATGGATAACCGGAATTCACGACATAATATTTTCCTACAAAATCAAATAAGTATAAGGAAATAATAATACAAGTACTACTAGCTTAGTAAGGACATGTGTATACCTTTAGGAGGCACAGGAAATGGAGGAAAATTTGCCCATGCATGATTGAGGATATGTGTGTCATCTGTGGAACCCATCAACCAGCAACCGCAAAAATAAACCTCATGTCAAAGTCACAAACAACTAGCACATTCTGAGATCTATATCCATGATGACATGTGTGTTTAACCACTCCCTCTAATGGCACTACCCACTCAAACATGTGAACTATCTATTGGAAGGGGCGCAGACCATAGCTATTGCGTCTAGGCGTGGACAAGAGCGAGCTGGGCAGGGCCAGATCAGAGCGGAGAGGAGCGAGTTGGGCTGGGCACTCCCATCCCGCGCTAGAGCAAAGAGGCTAGATGGGGCGGGGCCAGTGAGGAGCTAGGTAGGGACGGTGAGGACCAGGCGATAGGGGTCTTTGTCAGAGCAGAGAGGCCAGGATAGGGCGCGGTTAGTGAGTCCTAGTGCCGGCAAGGACTGGGGCAAGGTAGGAAAGGACATGGTGGTGGCGGAAAGGACCAGGCGATGTCGGAGGAGACCGAGGTAGGGCCAGCGAGATGCATCACCCGCAAACCCTAGTGCCGCCTTTGCTTCACCTCGCGTGGATGGACACGCTCGTGACTTGCGCGGATGGGAACAAAAGGGAAAGAACAAAACATTTTCTTCATAAACGATGGTAGTGCGGGTAATTTCATTGAAAGTCACTCCCTACAGCTGGTGAAAGCAACTCTTCCCCTGCTATGGAAAATGAACTACGTGAAAGCTACTATTGGCAAAAGTTGTTGGTCCAGTAGGTGCCTTTGGTTGGATTTTGGGCTTTTGGGAGGAAAAGCTATAGCCAAAAGCTAAATCAAATAGGAACGACAGGAACCATGAATCCTGATAAGTATTAGTTACTGTAGGATTTCTGGAACGCCTAGAGGGGGGGGTGAATAGGCCTATGAAAATTCAACTCAAACCGAAGTCAAATTCACCCATGGCACTGCCGCTCTATGAGTGCGACACTGCCGCACCTGCAGGAGAGATTAGTTCACAGTTCAAAATCTACCCAACGAAATTTAGATTGGGTAAATTTCTTAGCTTCCTGTAGGGTAGTAGATCACAGATCGATAGCTGAAAGTGGTGGAAACACCACACACAAGTAGATCAGCCTCAAACTATAGAAATCACCTCAATAGATAATATGTCATGCAAGTAATGTAAATCAAGCACAAGTGACACAATGATTTATCCCGTGGTTTGGCTCACCACCAAGGCTTGCCTACCTCCACGTTGTTGAGGTTAGCCAGTAAGGCTTAGAGCTTTCTAGCTCTTGCTCGTTCTCAAGTCTAGAGACTTAACTCTTGAGATGAGGAGTGAGTTTACTAGCTTTAAGATATGGTTACAAACCTCTCCGGGCTGCCACACAAGTTGGCAAGCTCCACGGGCGACACTCTAGCTGGCTAGGAACCAAGCTCTAAGAGTAACAAACACAACCGCCGGCTAAAACATGAACCAAGTGCTCTTTAGAGTTTGGAAATCAAAGGAGCTGCTCTCTAATAGAGTTTTGGAACCCTTTTCCTCAAGGATTGATGGGAAAATCAATGGATTTGCTTGAGGGCTTGAGGTCAACAATGGAGTGAGAGAGAGAGCTCTTGCTCTGTTTTGGGTGTGCTGAAGTGAAGAAGAAGAGAGCTCGTTTTTCTTTTCTTACCGATGGGGAGGAAGGGGAAAGGTATATATACCCCCCAGCCCCCAATGGTCACTTGAATCGTACATAGCTGTTGGGGAGGAAAGGAAAAGGTATATATACCCCCAACCCACAATGGACACCGCACCCAAGGGGTCAGGCGAGACAAAGCCCGTGGCCTCGAGGTCGGGCAAGACGGAGCCCGCGGCCTCGAGATCGGGCGAGACGGAGCCCGTGACTAAGGGGTCGGGTGAGACGGAGCCCGCGACCAAGGGGTTGGGAGAGCCAAAACCCACGACCAAGGGGTCGGGCGAGCCGAAGCCCGCGACCAAGGGGTTGGGAGAGCCGGAGCCCACGACCAAGGGGTCAGGTGAGCCTCTCTTCAAGTGTGGCAGTGCCGCACCACATAAGACAGCAAGGGTTATTGTGAAGTGTAGACTATCTTGGCTGTGAATCTGAGGATGCATGTGGTTGTTAGAGCACTTGGTAGCACATATTAGTTTAAGCATTGTGCCCCTCTTTATAGTACGGCTTTTCCTATACTCAAATTCAATATATAAAAGAATTTAAACCTCCTTTGAGGTTGAAGCCATGTACATTTATAATTGGGGGCTTCTCCGTTTCATGTAGCTTACTCGAATATAAATTTTCTGCTTGTCATCTCGATAAATCTCATTAGTTCTCTAATTGCGTGGTCATTATCACCAAAACCCACAATTAAGACTTGATTGCACTTTCAATCTCCTCTTTTTTGATGATTGATGACAACCCAATTAGAGCTTACAAAAGATATGAAATAAATACTGAGACTTTCGAGCCATGGGTGTAGAGCCTCCCCCTAAGTATGTGAATAGAGAATTGAATTCTCAAATTGGCATAAGAAGCCAAGATTCACATTTTAGTGAAAGTGATGGGGCTCCCACCTACATCCATACTCCTGTGGGGTGCTGCAAACTATGTCAGGTATGTAAAACATGATGCAAATGACAGTCTATGCACAACATGGTTTGCTGTTGTAGCTGGGTGCGGCACTGCCGCACTTGCTATAACAGCACAGATCAGAACAGACACCACACAACATGTGATACATATAAAGGTATACATTCTAGCACAATTGTATCACAAGCAACAACATAGATTAATATATGTCCATATCCCACACAAAAAGTCAAATAGTAGCATTATATCACCATTTAGAGTTTTGAGCGACTCTCAAACTTTCCACCTAGCGAAGACTAACACTCATCGAATAGGACATGAAGCGCAGCTGCTGACCATGGCATCGAAAAGTTGTTGACCCCTATAATTTTCTCCCCCTTTGGCATAAAGCACCAAAAGCAGAAGAAAACAAGAAAGATCAACACCTACTCGTCATCTCCCTGGATGTTCGTCCAATCAATATCATCACCTCCTGCAGCCCTAGCACCTACTGTAGCAGTCCCGGCACCACAATCACCATCATCGTCATCGGAGTCAATACGTGCACTGCCCTGACGGTGAGTAGTGGTAGTGTAGCAAGTGGAATGCCTCAGCTCATGTCTCTGACGGTATCCCTCCAGGGTCTCATCCCAATCTGCTGCTCATCCCTTCTACTCTCATCATCTGAATCTATGTCAGAGACTCAGAAGGTCATACTATGGAGGAGGTGGAATAGGAGTAAGTGGTGGAAGGTCATGTCCACGCTGCTAATGCTGCTCAAGCTGTGTCTCATATGCTCTGTCAGCTGCATAGGTGCACTTGCCAAAGATTGCCTTCAACCACTTGCCAAACTTCTTCATCTTGCCTCTTCTGTGAGACCTAGAGCGGGAAGATTTTGGGATGTTTGCATGAGCATGAGAGCTCCCCGCTCCTTGAGTAGCTGCAGCTGGCTAGGTCTTCTCAATTTTGTAAACGGTGTGCATCCCATCCTTTGGAAAATAAAATCCAGTGACCCTCTCAATCATGAACATGAGGTAAGGGGCATAGGCCATCCCCCTCCTCCCATCCTCCACTACAAATCTTAACTCAGTCCACATGAATCTAGGGACATTGAACCTGTCCCCACATTGAGCAAATATAGCCAACACATTTCTCACATAGCCATTAATATCTAAGGCTGCTCCATCCTTTGGGTTGATGGTGTTCCTAATGAGGTTGTTGAGGATGTAATAGAAGCTGTGTAGACCACTTCTCTTGCCATCTGCAATCCTTCTATCTCTCCACATATAATTGATGTC